CAAATAAACGCGAACTTGAACTTCAAAGAACATCAGGTGGAGAGTGAGTCCTATGTAAACATAATTCTGCCCAAGACCTTCTCTGCAATAAGAAAAGTCCTGCAAGTAGTTGTAATTTAGCCTGATCAATGCAATTTTGACACATGGACTTTTGTCAACAGGCCTGAATAACAAAGTATATGCAGTAATAGCAGCTATAGTAAGTGTGGAAAGAATTGAGTTTTTCCCCACTTCCATGATAGTTGTGGCTGGACAGAGTATATTGATTAGACACAAACCATTCAAAAGTTAGGCTTAACTCTATTTTATATGATTAATTCATTTATTCTAATCTGATCCTTCTTGGAAGTTTGTAAAGTCTGTTAAGTACAGTACATACTGTAAATATAGTCACACAAAAGGTGTATTTGTATGAAGAAGGCTCCACGGCTCCACAGTTGTGTTTGCTTTCTTCTCTTTTCAGCATGGAATATACCTATTACTAGTTCCTTTGTATGTACAGTGTATGTTCCTTAGAATTATAACTCAGGATATCCCAGCAGATCAATTCAAGAATTAATACAATTTGACAGTACTGATGCTTAATTTTGATGAGGCATGTCAAACACATTTACTGAAATCTCTATAAAAGTCAGGCTTCACCTTTGAGACTGGCTTCAGGCAGACGTCTTTGTGAGCTAGTATTGATTTCAATGGTAAAGTCTAGTTTAAAAGAAGGCTATAAATGTGTTTACAAATGTATTCTACTGTTAAAAGTACCAGCTTTACAGTGTGTTTACTTTTGTGTTTAAATTCTCACACACACTGTAAAACTGAAATTGTTCAGCACAATGCATGATCCCCTGTGGCCAGATCATGACTGCTCTACATTAACTACTGTAGTGTCTGGTGAGAGAATTCCTTATTGGAAGGTTGATCACGGATCTGCACTGAATGCCTAAATGCATGATTGATAACAAAACCACATGTTGACCTTTGTGTATTCCCTCTTTCTCAAAAGTGGAGCTTTTCCCTTTTTTGTTGAAGGCTTTTCACATAATATTATCTACAGTACTTTATCTTTCTTCCTAGCAGTGTTGCTGGTTTAAAAGAAGGCACATGAAAAATAAAAATATCACTCAGGCTGCCTTGCCCATGGTGGAGGTCTTTTATACTGGAATACACATCCTCAAGGGGCATTCATCATAGCGGGTGATTTCAATGGTGTGAACTTGAAGAAAACAATGCCTAATCTACATCAACACATCGTCTGCCCGACGCGCGGAACAAACACATTTAAGACCCATTCAACGTTGGTCAGATGTATCAGATTTTATATTAAATCACTGTTTTGCTACCACTGACTGGCAGATATTCCGTGATGCTGCCAGAAATAATATCAATCTGTATATGGACTATGTTACTGGCTACATCGGTAAATGCACTGAAGATGTGATTACTGTTCACACATATCCAAATCAGAAATCGTGGGTAATTGGTGAGAAATGCGCCAAACTTAAAGCTAGGACAGCTACTTTCGATTCTGGCAATATGGATAAATATAAAAAATCCAGAGACGACTTCAGGAAAGCAATCAAAACAGCTTAATACAACTACAGAGCAAAATTAGAGTCATGTTATCACGGCTGCAACACATGGAACATGTGGAGTGGTATACGCACCATTACAGACTACAAAACGCAACCCAGCTATATCGCACAAGAGTCTGCCTCTCTTCCTGATTAGCTAAATTCATTCTATGCTCGGTTTGAGGTCAGTAACATAGATCCAGTCAAGAAGATTCCAGAAATCCAAGAGGGAAACCCATTGATCATATCTAGATCGGATGTGTGCAAAGTTTTTAAAAAGACCAATCCACACAAGGCTCCTGGCCCTGATGCTATCCCTGGCCGTGTTCTGAAGGCATGTGCAGACCAGCTGGCAGATGTCTTCTCGGACATATTCAATCTCTCTCTAGCTCAGTTTATAGTTCTGCTTCCTGCTTTAAGAAAACCACCATTGTCCCTGTTCCTAAGAAACCCAGAGTCAGCTGCCTGAATGACTACCACCCCGTTGCACTCACATCAGTTATCATGAAGTGCTTCAAGCAGTTGGTCAAAGCATACATCACCTCCTCACTGCCTGACACCCTAGACCCACTACAATTTGCTTATCACCAGAACAGGTCAACAGAAGATGCTATTGCTTCTGTCCTTCATACTGCCCTCTTACACCTGAATAAGAAAGGAACATACTGTATGTGAGAATATTGCTTTTTTATTACAGCTCAGCATTCAATACCATAGTGCCCTCAAAACTTGTCATCATGCTGAACCTGGGACTGAACACCTCCATTTGTAATTGGATCCTGGACTTCTTGACGAAACATCTGCAAGTTGTGAGGGTGGGCATCAACATATCCTCTACCCTGACTCTAAACACTGGAGCCCCCCAAGGCTGTGTGCTTAGCCCCATCCTCTACTCCTTATTTACCCATGATTATGTCTCCAGGCATAACTCAAACTCCATCATTAAGTTTGCAGACGATACAACAGTCATCGGCCTGATCACAGATGGTGAAGAGTCTGCGTACAGGGAGGAGGTTGAAACCCTGAAAGCATGGTGCCAGGAGAACAACCTCTCTCTGAACATCAGTAAGACTAAAGAAATGATTGTGAACTATAGGAAACACCAGGGAGGAGATCACACACCTATCTATATCAATGGGACTGCAGTGGAGAGGGTCAGCAGTTTTAAGTTCCTGGGAGTTAACATCACAGAGGACTTCACCTGGACCCAACACACCAACATCATGGTAAAAACAGCACAGCAGCGTCTATTCTTTCTCCGCAGGCTAAAGATGTTTGCCGTGCCATCACATATCCAGGCCAAATTATACAGGTGCACTACTGAGAGCATCCTGACTGGTTGCATCACTGCCTGGTATGGGAACTGCTCCGCCCAGGATCACAAAGTACTACAGAGGGTGGTGAAGTCAGCGCAGCTCATTATCGGCTGTGAGCTACCAAACATCCAGGATATCTACTAAGCTAGAAGTCTTAAAACGTCCAGGTCCATTCTCAAGGACCCAGTCACAAACTGTTTTCCCTCCTACCATCCTGTAAATGGTACCAAACCATTCGGTCCAAAATATTACAGAACAGCTTCTACCTCCAAGCAATAAGACTGCTAAACAGCCAACCTGCAGCTCCTTTAGCAAATCACCCATAATGGCTACATGGACACACACTTTTCACTGTATTCATCATACTGCACTACGTGGACATGATATATTGCATACGTTCTGGACACATACTGTAGCAGCTCTATTTATATTGAGAATTGTCTGAGTTTATCTTATTCAATTTCTATTGTACTATTATGTATTATTATGTAACTTTCTTTTGCAACTTTAATTTTCTGATTTTTACCCAACCCCCCACACCTGGTAAGCTCGTAGAAAAGACATTTCATTGCCAGCAACTACTGCTGCATGCTGTATTATTGTGCATTTGATAAATACACTTTGATTTATACTGCCCACAATACAGGGTGTGATTGATGATCACTATCTTCCTGCACAGCTCTTCACCTTGCTACTGGAATGTTCACATAAGGAGGTAGACTGTGGCACCGGGATACTTCACTGACATATTTGTCCTCGCTCCTGTATCCAGTTACTGTATCTTGCATTTTGGCTTAATTAAATTTTAAAAACGATTTTGTATAGAATAATACCAATACTGAAAAATGAGTGGGTTTCTAAAAGTTCCAAGTCCATCATCATACCAAGTTGTAGTTAATGAGAGTGCAAGCTTTGAGCCTTGCAATTACAATAATTATTTGGTTAATTAAGAAATCAATCAATTGATTATCTGATTATGATTGATTATTTATTAAACTTTATTTAACTAATAACTATGTTATTTATTAAACTTACTGGTTGTTTATGATTTTATTAATTTCTATTAATTTAAAAAAACTCAATAAATAAATAAAGATTGTATAATCAGCCTTCTTTATCTGAATAACCTTTAGCTTTTTTTGACCTTGCCATAATATTTCTATATGCTCTTCTGCAAATATGATTGTGGTTGCAAAAAGTGTGCCAACATTTTTCTTATAATTAGAAAAATAAATACCCCAGTTTGTATAATTTCGTGGATTAGTCAAAAATGGAGCAAATATGGAGAGCGTGAGAAGCCCAATTTGGTATCCACAGTGAATCACTGTAACAACAAAATGATAGGCAGTTACTTACGATATCCAATTGAGAAAATTACACCTTGGAGGCACAAAAAGATTTTCTTTTGACACTTACAGTATATTTATTGGGTTCATTTAAATTTATAAGAAGGGCAGTCTATTCAATTATACAAACTTTATTCTCAGAATCTTCATGATGTTTCACTACAAAACAAAAACTATTTACTGTGTTTGTGTATTTTAATTACAGTATATTATACACCTTTAATACTACTGTAGTTCGCCCCAGTTGACATGTTTTTTATTATGCAAAGGAACAAGTAAAGGTTTATTCCAGACTGAAAAGAAAAGAGACTTGATGTTTCAGCTGTGGAGCCTTCTCCAGCATGTTTTTATGATATTTACATGTAAGCATGGCAAACAGAATTATCAGGGGCAAGCTGTGTGAAAGAGCAAGGAATGAAATGAGTGGCCATTGTTGCTGAAGGCTGGGCTCATTTTGGAATGAGCGTAAAAAGTCTGGGGATTGAAGCTGTTTCTTCTGTCTTTTTTTACTTCAAAGAATACCAAGTGAATACTTAGAAATGGCAGAAATGAAGATCACTTTAGATCCCAAACTTCCCATGTCTTGTTCTCTTGTCCTGGATGGGTCCGCAAGCAGCAGCCTCTCCTGGAATGTTTTATAATCCGCTAGTGTCACTGCTTCATCTACTCATTTACAGGACTGTTACTGAACTTCAGGAGTTTTTGCCCTACCTGAATGGCTGCTGTGATGTACTTTGCATAAGCCCAGTGCCAAGTTTCTTCCCCCTTACCTGGTTGTAGAGGGCACAGACATGCAGAGCGGTGTTTCCAGAGGCATTCTGGGCACTCATATCTGCTCCATAAAACAGGAGGTGCTCCAAGTGCTGAACATGCCCATGGCGACAGGCCTGTAGATAGGAAGACATCAAATTACCCTTTAAATGCTAGCAGGAAGTGTGCAAATAGTGAAATGTGAATGTAAATATATATATATAAAAATATCAGATAAAATAAGACCCACTGATACTGTCAGTATTTGTGATAAAAAACACAAGATCACCACCAGATGAGAATTATGTGCTTGTAGACAAACACCATACCTATCAATGTGGCCAGTCAACCAAACTGCTGTAACTTTTTATTCCAATAAAACAATTTAGTCTCTGGCATTTGGATATTTCACCACAAGATGGATGAGAGTAAATATTTCAGCACAAATTACCCAGTACTAAATTTTCTGAAGCACCTACTGTACCTGAAAAACAAAGCAGTTTTGAATGTATTTCTCTTAATTAGAACACACATGCTTATTGCAAAACATTAATTATAGCTAGATTATAATTTCAAGGGACAGATGTGGTGCTCAAAAATAAAGCTGAAAACTTCAAGCTCTAAGTACACTAAAATGAGCACCTGAAAATCCATCATTAAAACAATAAGTGTAAGCTGAGATTTTAAAACAATAACACAGGAAAGTTTGAAAATAAGGTGATGTCATTTGGAACATAGCTCATTTGGTAAAATGTGCTTCTGGTGCAATTGTGAATGAAGTTAAAAAGATTTCTTTCCTCACAAACCATCGATCATTTCTGTAACTCTAATGGTGAATCTTTTCTGGTGAATTGACTTTTTTTTTATTTTCTCCTTGGCAGTGACCTGTGTCCTGTGTCAGACACATTACACTTCCATCAATGTTTGAATAATCTGCTGGAGGTGTCAAAAAGTAATCAATATGCACTCCCCCTATAGAAATTATGATCATGAAGCTGAGAGTAAAACACCTGAGGCTTTTATATCACCAACACATTCTCTGTAGGTATCATCTAGATAAAATTAAACTGCCACCAGGTAGCTCAAAAATGTTATTAATGGGTCCAAAATAAATTTGCAGCATATTCCAATATGTCTCTGTTCTGAAAATGGAGCATTGCAGCCCACTAAAAGGAGAATACAGATCTAACAATTTACCCAGCTGTTTGACAATTTCTCTATACTGCAATGTGGTTTTTTTAACCTTAATTAATTTATTGCAATAATCTACTGAAGAGCACAACTGAAAAAATATTTTTTCCCAGCTAAGTACATACACTATGTAGGGCTCAAAGTGCAGAAGATAATTATTGGGTGCTTGTTTGCCAGTCAGCGCTGTTATCAATGCCCTAGTTCTTTTCACAAATGTACTGTGTGTGGGAGGTTTTACTTGTAAATCGACCAGCCCACTCTCTCCTCCTTGGCTAGCATGAAAAAGACCATTTTCAGTACCATTAAAATGCAAAGGGAAGTTTCACACAATTCATTTAGTAAATGATCAAACAGAATTTCTTTAACACACATGCTTAATCCATCTATCCATTTGCAATCCACTTTATTAAATTCAGGGTCGCGGGCCCCTTGAGGCTATCCCAGAAAGCAATGGGCGCAAGGCAGGACAAAACATCAGTCACGAGGAACACACAGATATTCACACACTCACACCAGGACCAATTTAGATGTCTTTGGACTGTGGGAGGAAACTGGAGTATCCCGAGGAGACCCACATAAACATAGGGAAAACAAACAAACTCTATGCAGATAGCACCCTAGAATTGTACCTGACGCCCCAGTGGTATGAGGTAATTACTGCACCACCATGCCACCCACATAATTAATCAATATCAGCAAAAATATATTGTACTCTGTCACTTGCCACTTGTCACTTGCAAAAATTATTTCACGTTATGGTTTTCATAATTGCTCAGGCATCAAAGGCTCTAGAAATGTTGATTCCTGTTATGTGGGATATGTCATTAGCCAAAAGTGAACAAGTCTCCCCAACCAACAGGTCGCAATTGGTCTCCAGGGCTATTAAGCCTTCAAGAGGGAAGACCATTCCTGGTTAATAATGTACCAGAAGCTCTGGTGGATGACCAGGTGCTTGTGAGCCTGTAGTGCTGTCAGCAAGAGCTGCATCACTATCCATTTGAAGTCTCCTGTAAAACACCATTAGATTTGAAGTATGAAAAATGATGTATGGCTCAAAACTGCACGTTTCAATGGAAAGAATGCAGCATCCTAATGTATCCCCTAGTGTTACAAGGATCACTTTAATGTCTAATTATAAGGCTGCTGCACGCCTGCAATTGACTGTTATCTACTAAACTTTGACTAAACCTGTTGTTGCTGAAGTAGTGCATTACTTAAAATAGCCTTATACTGTATGTATGCTTTTTACTCAAAGTTCCTTTCAGTCAGAAATTATGTAAATTATGTAAATATAGCATTGCATGGACAACAAATGCTAATTATTAATGTTCACAAACATTATTGTGAATTCAAGTGAGAAAGACAAAATTTTGTATATAAAGCATTAATAAGTTCTTAAACATCATATCAGAGGGTCATTCATTCAATTTTTAATTACTCTATTAAGCATTCACATTGCAAATGTGTCTTCAAAACTATATTGCATAATAGCCTTCAAAATAACAAATTAAGAAGTCTTTAAGAACAGCAACAATGAAAAATGATCAGCAGTTGAGTTTCTTGTACATGCTTGGATTAATCACCTCTCTCAACCACTTTGTCACTCTTCACCTTCCAAATCTTACAGAAGGTATAGTTTGCTTGTACAGTGTAACACCTTAAAACCAAACTGTAAAATCACCTGCTACTATGAAAGCAGTCCAAATGCAATACCTTCCCCTGCAAAGTGAATTTGTGTAGTTGAAACATTTTAATAGAATACAATATACTGTACTACAGAGCCAAAACAAAAGACAGCACTTCAAACACTCTGGTTTATGATTAAACTTTATGTTGCTATCCTGGTAGTGTAACCAAATATTTTCAGCTAGTCTATTTGTTGTGGGCAAAGAATTAAATACATTTCGATGAAAAGACTAATTCAGACTATGAATATGATTAAATATGATTAAAAAAGACATAACTGAAAAGTAATGTGACCCAGACCACTCTGATATAAAATTGCGTGCTGCATATACTGTAGAAACATTTTGTTCGATTTCAAACTGATGTTTTTTTAATGTATAATGTGTTTATATACAGTACATAATGTTTTTCCCCCAGTTCAGTTTGTTTTACAAAAAAATGTAAAACAGGGGTCCCCCACTGGGAAAAAAATCTGTACTGTATCTGTTGCTGAAAATTGGTTCTGTATAATTTCTCTTACCTACAGCACTGAGAGCACAGCAAATTGTCTTGTTAAATTGTTTAAGTTGTTTATAAGAAAATGAACCAGTGTTCTTGCAGAAAGTGTGATATCTTTGACACCATAATTTAACACCTTTCATAATCCTGATAAATATTTATTTTATGTCACTTGATTAGTAACATTAATATTTAAGGATTCACTAGAAAACCTGACAAATCAAAAATATAATATTAAGAAACTTTAGTGGACAGAAATATTTTTGCTCCCCCTACACTTCACCATAAAATTAGAAAAATGACAAAAATGGAATAAATGTTTTTTTTTCATTAAAAAAAATCCAACTCTTATTCTTCAGGGGTCAGGGTCACTACCATATAAAAAATCTATTAATAATATATCTACACTTACATTTCTAAAAATTAGTTCAGAGGTTTCATTATTTACAGTAAAAGGTCTTTATTTTGTTTTCAGAATAACTTTTACATGTTCATGACTCCTTCCTTTATAATTACCTTCTGAAAGAACTTTAGCTGGTGAAAATGTCATTTCAATGGGTTTCATTACATTGAATGTAATAAACAGAAGAATCTGCTGAAGTTAACCATTTTTGACCTTATTATGTGAACTAGAGCCCAATCCCGAAAAGGTCAGGAGCTGATGTTCATGTTGTTCAAAATATCATATCAAGGAACTGTATTTTTCTAGGTCTGGCAGATAACATGTTTTGAGTGTTTCCTTGGTTCTTGTTATCTCAGGAAGGCATTTACAGCTAGTGGTCTTGTTTTTGAGGAAACTGGTGTGAACTTGCTTGAGCTAAAGCCCTAGTGGCAGTGAGCTGAATGGGGTCCATGGGAAAAAACAATTCTGTACCTGGTGAATTTCCTGCCAGCCATTCTCATCCACACAGCCCACCACTGCGTGATCATGGAGGAGCAGCTCACAGCAGTAGGGATCTCCTCCTACCATGGAACTGTGGTACAGTGGACTGAGACCCCGGCTGTCCTTGTAATCAGGAGACGCGCCCAGGTCTAACAGCGTCTGTGCAGAATTAGAGACAGGTGAGGCCACAGCAGAAGCAGTTAGACAATAGATATCATGCTTGCCATGTACTGTACAGTAGGTTTCTGATGTTAACAGGAAGTAACATCTGATACCTGCAATTCCACCAAACCAAGTGCTAGAAATAGAAAATAAATACAAGATTGCAGAACAAAAAGTGAAATATTGATATTGAATAATACTGAGGTAAATTGAAAAACACATTCTTCTTGTCAATTTTCTAACAGTATAATATTAAATGTAACAGTATAGTATTAAGAATGTTTACATTTACAACATGGTTAAAACACACTTATGAATTTCTCCAGAAAATCATGGAGTTTCAGGAAATGAAACAGCCACTCTACATCATTCTATTTGATTACTGGCATGTTAACGTAGAAAGACATCGAGGTAATTTTTTTCAATGTGAAAAGCTGTCTGGAAGCTGAAGGCGCTCTAACAGCTAGCATTTATCCTAGAATGAAGCAAATAAACTTCAGTGAATTAAAGCTTCAAATTCAAAGCCTTTCAGTCACAGTGCAGTCAGGGCACCATCATGAAGAAGATATATTTTTTTAAATCTTTGCAGTTTAAAAGTAAATAATCAAAATACTTTTTTCCTGAAAACTGATATATATATATTTTAAAATAATTAATGGTAAAAGTATGAGGTTTGCAAAAATGAACTTGTATATGCAGTATAAGATAGTGCACCCTACACTGGCCACACTAACACAAAAATATAAAATTGACTATTTTTAATCAATTTTTGGTACACACCATGCTATAAATGATAGCTCCAGCTTTCATAAATGCAACTGACAAAGCACTTTTATTACAGCTGCCTGCACTGATTATTCTCCAGGGAATTTGTTTTGCAATTTGTTAAGTGCAGTTCAAAAACATTTGTTTCATGCTACAACTGATGCTCATCTTCATACTGTGTATCTGTACCATATAACCTACAGTAGGCTCATGGGATAGTGGTTACACAGATGAATGGATACACAGGGCATAAAAATTAGAACACAAAGAGTATCCATTGTCAACATTCTAGGTACTTCCCAGCATGGTAAAATCTTGAAACAGAGTGCTGACACGATTTATGTTAAGCAGTGGACCAAACCGTTGAAACACCCCTTTTGAGATTTTTTTTAATCACCCACATGTGAAGCAATGTGCAAGAGAAAGAATAGTCCTGTATCCCCAGAAAAACCTGTCAACATTCTTCATGAAGAGGTCATACATCTTCTAACATAACACAGCACAGTGAGGTCCAAAAACTGCTTTCATAAATCAAGAGAGAAGGGTGACTGTTCTAAATTGAAAATAACATCAAATAGTGACTTACTTTCCTACAGTAGTTGCAGAAGGCAGTGTCACCTTGGAAGATGAAATACTCTACAATCTCTTCACATTGTCAATTTTGGATTAGGTATTTCTTTCACATGCACACTGTCTTTTCTAAAATGCAGGTAACCCAATCTTTGACTGGAGATTTGTATTCAACTCTGATTTACTTTTATTATATTTAAAAAGCACCAGACCATACATTTTTTTTAAAAGAAGAGAGGTATGTACTGCAATACATTTTATAACCTATCCATCCATTTTCTACACCACTTAATCCAACACAGCCTTAAGGGGGAGCTGGAGCCTATTCCAGCAAGCAATGGGCATAAGGCAGGATACACCCTGGACAGGACACCAATCCATTGCAGGGTAAACACAGACACAATCACCTACAAGCTCACACCAGAGCTAATTTTCCCAGAAGCCAATTACCATACCAGTTTGTCCTTAGACTGTGGGAGGAAACTGGAGCACCCACAGGAAGCCCATTCGAGCATGAGGACAACATACAGTACAAACTTCACATGGAGAACAACCTAGATTTGATGCTTACCATTGTGCCACAGTGCTGCCCTCTTATCATCCAGTGAACACTTAATTTGTATTTAGCAGACTGCTATCTTACCAAAGTTTATGCAGTTGGACCATTGTATACTCACAATAAGGGCTGTGTGGTTCTTGGTCCGCACCGCCTTGTGAAGAGCTGTTATGCCATCCCTGGTTCTGAAATCTAAATGTGCCCCACCATTTTTCAGCAGTTTGATCACCTCCGCACATCCCTCAAGCTGTGCAGCCATTGTCAGTGGGCATTCTGTTACCAGACATATAAACATAAAAACAACAACGAAAAATCATCATTACCTTACAAATAGACTAACAAAACTCCTAACTGTAGACAGTGATGAAATAAAGAAATTTGTTCAGTATTGCTGTGTCTTGCGGTTTGCCATCCATTCTACCAGCATGAGATTTAATGAAAAAAAGGAACAGGCATAGGTCTTGTATCAGCACTGAACAGCAGGTGTAAACAGGGGAATTAAGTGGACTATCTCAGGGAAGTGCACTGAAGCTTGGTATAAAGGCCTTCTTTTAAGTAATATAACCACAGAAATTACACCAACCAAGCCCAATGCACGAAAGATTTAACCTTAAGAGCACACTACCCGCACTACTAAGTAGGCTTCTCTAGGTGTTGTATCAGCTGCATGACACAGGAAGAAAATCAACATACAAACAAAATAAGTTGTTTTAGAGTTCAAAATCAGTTACTCAATTTGTGACCAATATCCCACAGAGCATTTAAAAGTACTTTTAACTATCCAATATGTGACCTGTGGAAAATAAAGAACTTGTTCTCAAAATGTGGTAAGGCAAAAATAAATTCAGTATAGCATAAATGTACACTAAACTTTTAAGGAAAGAGTTTGGCTTGGTGATGATTCCTTGACCTGTTTTTTGGGCACTGTATCATCTATGATTTTGTGTTTTGTGCCTGTTTTTTCTGACAAAGGTTTTTGAGTATTGATCTTCCTTAGTATGGACATGAGCTATGCACAGTTCAATATCTGTAAGACATGTATTATAAGCGAAGTTAATCTGACAGATCTGCTGTGAACATTCAACAGAGTATTTCCAGGGTCAAAACCACACAAACCAAGATTAAAAAATATATTTTATTAACGTTCTGATTAAAAGGTTTTCAGTCATAGTCACACAGATGGTAGCTTCTCACCTTTGGCTCAAACTGAGAAAATCTCTGTTACTGATATACTGAACCAATCTTTTACTTACGAGTGGAACACATTCTTTTAATTTTAATATTTACTTTATTTTATATTTGTTTTTAAACTTTAACCCTGTATGCAACAATCCAAGGATCCTTATAGTACATTCCTTTTTTCAGAAGTGCTGAAAATGAGAGTGAAAAGAACAGGGGAACCTGTCCAAACTTACTAAAACTAGCTATGGCATAGATGTGAAGACAAAGACTTCACAGCAGTCACTTTCTAATTTTCCACAAACATTACATATTTTTACTGTTTCATTTGGAAAAAGTACAATTCTCAAATATTGTCATTCACCTAGACAGGCAGGTATTTTAAAAATGATGTGGTTAAGGAGAAAGCAACATTTTTTTTTCTTTTGACATTGACATTTTAGAATAATCACATTTCTGAATTTGAATGAGGTGAATAATCTAAATTATTTGCAAAAGACCATGTGTTTAAGATGAAAAAAAAATTAAAAGGTTCTCATAAAACAGAGTTTAGATGAAAACTAAACTAAAACATTTTTAAAATTGAAAAAAATTAATGGATTCTTTTAATCTTTTTATGTATTTGTTACGTTTGACTTCCTGCTTTATCCACAATGAAATTTATTGTCTTAGAAAAACCAACAGACATAAAAGTGACATAACAGTGATGTGAAAGTGCCCCAGTACATTTTGAGACCTCTTTAATTCTGTATTATTTAAATCTGAAAACAGATTAAATGTATTATGGCAGTCCCTAATTTAGTTTGAATTAACAAACCAGGAAAGAGTGCTACATTAATGAAAATGCTTACATTTTCAGTTCTTTTTTCCAGGTCTTTCTATTGCTGTTTCCCATGGGTAAACAATATTGATTAACGATCTAATAAATCTGGGCAACTGAAAACCAAAACAAATCTCTACACCAATTTTCTGGCTCAATAAACTGTGCTGAAGATCTGCATTTCAAGGGCATCTGTTTCTTACAGGATATCTTCATTCCCATGGTATTGACCAGAAGCGATGTTTACTTATTTACAGTAGTTGACATGTCAAATAAAATACTGTTCTCATACCTCAGACACTCCTCACACAGGAAAGTTATTATCGTGAATTAATGCAATTTCGTAATCCAAACAAAAGATTAGTGTTCTCAGATTGGTTAAAGACTTTTTTAAATCATGAAAGTCAAATGAGATGTACAGTATAATATTCATTAATATTTTATAATCAATACTGCAACCCAGTTTCACTCAACAACACTTATTATTTTTAATTACTCATTTGGCAGAGATTGTGGCATACAGTCCATCAGGTAAAACGTCCACCATTACTAATGTAATTCTGACTATACTGTAGCTCTTTCTTACTGTGTAACCTAATGTCTGTTAAGTGTTTAGTAGTCTGCAATACATACAGTACACATATTGTTACAAATATGGGGTTACAGAAAATCAGGAAATTGACCAAATGGTTTAGTAAATAACTAAGATAATCATTCATTATCCCCAACTTAAGTGATTTCTCCAGAATATATCCGAGCAGTTGGTATAAATAGAGGCACATGAATTCTTTATTCTCTGGCACAGCTTTGGTGAAAGAGTGATAATCCAAGCACACTTGGTTAAACAAATGTTTATTAACAATGACAAGACAAACACTATACTACAGACAACAACAACATACAACACAACGTTTTACACAAGTATTTACAGGGTGTTTCAGAAGCCTAACATCCTAGCATGTAAAAAACCTCTGATTGCTACTAAGTATTGAACTTTTTAAAATAATGCCCACAAAAACCATAATAAGATACAAGCTGCCTTCTTAATGAAATTAAACCTGCAGTTAAATATCTCTCTCTGCAAACTTGGATGCTGCAAAATAAATGGGATCCTTTCTCCCTATTGTAAAACTGCACCCACAAGCAGGAAAGATGTCCCTAACCGAGGTATCTTTCACCAAGGAAACCCAAGTTTCCTAAAAATGCAGAATAACAAGATCACTCAAGCAAGGGTCAAACACTTAGCTCCTAACAACTTTTGTCTGGGTGATCATGAAGTTAGCCAGTCAGCCCTTGGCACAAGGTTCAAGTTCCAGACTCCTCCCTCTTCTCTCTCTTCTTCCCAGGTTCCCCTGGTCTTGTCCTTTCTCTTTTCTCTCTCTCTGTAATCTTAATGTGATGCAGTGTGTTTCTGGACTGCTCATCAACAATCATTAACCCCAAACTTAATTAACTAGGCAAAACAAGGTAAACTTTACAATAATATTTTGATCAGGGGACCCCCCCCCCCAACATCTCCGCAAACGTCGCCTCTGCTTTGAAACTGGAGGTGGTTACACTGTCAGGAGTCACATAATTGATCTAAAACTCTTGGAGACACTTCCTAGCCACCTCAAGCTGAAACAATATGTTTATCAGCATCATATTTTATAAATAAGATCTAAAATCTTGTATGTCCATTTATGCAGTATGTCTTATTTGAGGACTGCTTGATGATGAGATTTAATTGCATGCCAGAAATTATAATAACTCCACTCTCACTTGGTATTTTCCAATTGTGTAAATAAACCAAACCATGTTTCTTTTAGCAACACATATTCTATTTTTTTTTGCCAATTGTAAAATGTAGATATACTATATATATATAGTTCCCAGCAGCCATGTCACCCTGCAACTTACAATTGGCAACTCACTGAAGCTCAGCAGATGTGAGCCTGGTCAGTACCTGGATGGGAGACCTCCTGGGAAAAACTAAGGTTGCTGCTGGTAGAGGTGTTAGTGAGGCCAGCAGGGGGCGCTCACTCTGTGGTCCACGTGGGTCCTAATGCCCCAGTATAGTGATGGGGACACTATACTGTAAACAAGCGCTGTCTTTCGGATGAGACGTAAATCCAAGGTCCTGAGTCTCTGTGGTCATTAAAAATCCCAGGGTGTTTCTCGAAAAGAGTAGGGGTGTAACCCTGGCGTCCTGGCCAAATTTCCCATGCCTCCTAATAATACCCAGGAAGGGCTGAAATCATAATGCTCAGGCATGCAACATTTATTTCCACTATGATCAAATACAAAACCCTTTCTCTCATGTGACCTTTATGACACTTCAGGGATTTCACCATTTGCAAGAAAAACACAGCCCTTTAATAGTACATTTATTTTATCTTTTTAACTGAGTATACATGTAAAAAAAATCTATTTTCTATTTAGTCTGTGCCTAGAGAAAACATATGGAGTACGTCCTAACACTCAAAGTGTCTCTTTCGAAAAATTAAGAAAGCAAACCGTGGTATACTTGAATCAGACAAATGAAAAAGCAGAAGCAGTAAACGACTAAGCCTCCTCAAAACTAAAGAGCACATCAATATCTATGAGTTTAACTTCTACTAAAGACTGCTATTTAAAAGTTGACATATGGTATAATAGACTGAAATATAGTTGAAATCAGTATGTTAGAGTGTTTAAAAAAACACAATTACTGATGTAATTTATTATATTTACAAAGCTGTTAACATTTTTCAGTTTGGAAAAATAGCTTACGGAAACAGTTTGATCAATATTTACAAATCAATGTAGGGCGAAGAGAGTCAGTAACAGAGTTATAGGCATTATTGTCTACCATTTCCAGACCTTGTGCTGACAAAATGAAAAAAAGATTTCATAACTTGAGGATACTGAAAACGAATAAAAAACGTCAGTCACACAGAAACAATAAAAATCCATGCCCTGTCTCCTGTTGTGAGAGAATGATACTGGGTTTGAACAATGTGCAAAGCATTTCACTAGCTTCCTTCTCCACCTAGAAGACAGGGTGCTCAGTTCATCACAGAATGCTTCGTAAGAGATGCTGACATAACCTCTGTCCTTCATCAAAGAAAGCTTAATGATTTAATAAAACTAAGGATTGTGTTTATTGCATGAAATAATAGCGTGGCTAATTTTGTTTCATTTAGATTATTTTTATGTTTGGGCTTGGGTTAAGGTTCAGGTTCAGGATGATTGTCCCAGTTATAGAAGGGCCAAAGAGACGTTGCTGCTTATTCATTGGAGACTAAACTGGTAC